TTAAAAATCTGTTTAGCATTGTAAATGTAAAAAAAACATTTTGTTAATAAGTTAAATTATTAAGTTAAATTAGTCGCTACAACTCTGAAAGAGTTTTTTTGACACTTATTTCACATAATAATCCATTTTTTTTGTATCTATACTGTTAAAGCTCTACAGGTGTGTCTGAGAACAGCATGTAAGCTTCTTAATGTTGCTGTCCATGGTGCTGAATACATTTTAAAGTAGCATGACTGATTTAACTCTTTGTAAGCCATTAAAATACAAATCATAAAATAAATAAACATAACACTAAGCTTATAGTAAACTATAAAAATGAATGATGATTTGTCCTCTTTCAGTCTATTCTTTCTCTTTCTGGTTTCATGTGTTTATCAACTCCAGAAGACCAGTGGATGGAAACATGGGATATAATCTCAGTAGAGTCAAGGGGAGTCTAATACACTAATAAAGCAGGTAGGTGACTCAAAATCACAATATCAGTGTCTGGTTTCATGCAACTGTTTAGCCATGCATAAACAAATATATCCACAAAATATGTAATAATTCAGTTACTCGCTCAAAACTAGAAAAATGTCTATCAAAAAATAAAAATTCTGACTCCACATTTTTGTTGAGTGCAGGAACCATTCCATACAACCTTATTTTTATGTAACTTTCATAAAGCTTCAGACACCCCCATTCCATCCCCTTAGTTAAGTCAACAACATCAGGAAAGGTTTTATGCATTTGATATCTGTTACTAATAAGTCCAAATTCACACACATAACCAACACAGCTCCCAGAATAATTGGTCTCCCCACACCCAACTTTACAGAGTAAAATAATAAGGCCATTGCATGCATTATAACTTCTATAGCACAGGACGTTACACACCCACTCAATCACCACCTTACCCTACTGCCTTCCGGTACAGAGCACTGAGGTGCAGAAGGGTTTGCTTTTTATGAAAAACCTAATCATAGCCGCTGACCTGGCCTGAGTTTGTACTGTTGTCTGACATTGTAGGTTGTAACTGTATGCTGTTTGTTGTCTAATATGTACAATGACATGGGAAGGATTTTCCCTTGGGGACAATAAAGTCTAAATTATATTGGTCTATCCCGCAAAAGATCTCCATGTTAACCAGGGCAGCATGTACAGACACTGAGCAAACCAGGATGCTGCTGCAATGCTGTTGTTATTCATAACTCCAAAATGTAACTAATGTTTTAGATTGGGATTCACTACAAGATTCAAATGAATACCATGAACTAGGTCCTTCATTCTGTTCTTAAAGACCTCCTGAAGCTCTTGGCTTTTTAAGTTTTTTTTATTTTTTATTACTACTTTCTCCGCTCCACATGTTTCTACACTGTTCTGCTCTGGTGAGGAAACAGAGAAGTGTCTTGAAATCACTGCTGCCTCCCACAGCTCACCTCTCATCAGCAACAACACTCACAACAGACTCTGAGTCTTGCACACACACACACACACACCTCGCCGCCGAGACACGACACACACACACACACCAAACACAGTTACCAGCACACACTCGTACACATACAGGGTTAGCAATGTCTGTTCACTGACATCCATCCTAACCTACATGCACAGACATTCATACACACACACACACACCACACACCACACACGCACTCAGGGGATAAGCCAGCGAAAGGGCAGTGGGATGTACAGCTGTGATGGTGTGTGTCAGGGAGAGATCAGATTCTTTAATAAATGATGATCTTGAGGAGGGAAGTGTGTGTGTGTGTGTGTGTGTGTGTGTGTTTGTGTGTGGATAGTGAAAGGTGGGTTAGTGGTCATTCATTGGCTACTCAGTAGAGAGTACCAAGTTACAGAGTGAAGGTAACTCTGGACAAGCACTGAAACTTCTAATGTCTGTTAAAATGATAAAGTCTGCCATTCAACAGGTGAGAGATATGTAATAATTCAATTGTCTGCACAGCATGATGCAAAATGCAAAACTTATTTACTACTTAAAGTTATATATTTGGTGATGGACCTTTTTTCACTTGTATGAGTGTGTGTGATATTACGCCAAATAACTGGAGGGTTCAATTACTGCCCCCATTTGGTGTGTTTTTTTTTATTCATTGCTTCAGGCACATGACTAAAACAGTGAAAAGTGCAAATACCAATAGTGTGGAGGTCTATATCTGTATCCCAGCAATGTCAAAGGTCAGCAGTGCCACATGCTGAATTATTTTATCCAATCAATTTAAATACAAAATAATCTTTGCATGAAATAATGAACTCATTTGTTTGTTTTTTGTGTCACAACCACTGACGTGGTCCACCACACAAGGGATTACATGACTCACAACAACATCCAATACAAATAAAGCTTTCCGGTTCACATTCAGAACTAACAAATGATTGCTGCATACCACATATGTTCTTAATCACAGGGAAAAAAACTAAAACATGTGTTACACATAAACAAAATAGATATATACAAAAAAAATTATTTGGTTCCCATGCAGTTCCCAAGTAATATGACAATGTAAATTTTTCTGTTACACCGTGTCTTTCAACAATTTACATAACTTCTCTCTCAGGTTATGATTATATGACAGGCACACTAACCCTGTCTTTCTCCCATATTGCATCAGGTATAGTAACTACTCTGGAAATTCACTCCTAATGCACAGGTCGAACCCTCTCAACCACAGCGTTTCCTTGCTCAATGCTGTGCAGGCATCTGCCACACACCTGGGAACTACATGTCAGCTTTAACTGTCACTGTGAGATAATCAATAAACTATAGTGTAAACTAAATTATTTTTATTTGTTTGTTGGGCTTGTCATTATTAAATGTAAACCTGTGGCTATATTATCTCTCACATTTAGACTATCTTGGGATTTAGCATGGGAAATATCACATGATCAATTTAAATGCATGCACTAACTTATTATTATTGCACGTCCTTAATTTAATGTATGCAGTAATCAATCTCTTTCTTTAAAAGTTTAGGTTTCTGCAAAGCATTAACACAGAAACAAAGCTGAAGGAGTTTGCTAAACATTTTGTATGCATTTCATAATTTAGCTCTAACAACAACACATATATATGTTAAACGGAAGAAGACCACTGATGTCTGTCTAAATATGGAGAAATGTCAAGATTAATATTATGTACAATTAAAATGACCTGTTTTCTTAACACCTACATAAATTATGCCACTACTTCATACCACATTATGTCCATTTAAAAAAAAAAAAAAATACAAAATAATTTTGTCACTTTGACAGATGAAATAGGGTCCATGTTTCAATGTTGTGCTGCAGTTGGAACAATTTGTCTCCCAATTATGATGACGGCAAACCCAGGGTTAATGTGGGAGAGTAAATCAAACAGTTAGTACATCTCTTAACTCTCATAATTGGTGAGGAATTACTGCAGTAATTGGTTTTTACACATCACCACCTCACCTGAATCAACCAAAACCAACCAACCATTATTTCTACCTAAGAGTCTTATGTCTCTGTCCAAACCAATTATATTTATCCTTCTAACCGTCTGAGGTCTACTGTGGTCAATACTCTCCATTACTCTTTACCTGTCCATTGTAACGCACTGTACACCTCATGTATCGACCGCAGTGACGACAGACTGGCAGGGTGTGAACGTGAATTAAGCAGGATGCAGCAGCACCCATGTCATGAAGAGGTTGACTGATGTTCCATGATGACTCCCAGGGTCATTACATGACAGTTAAGCTGATAGATGCCATCCACAGAGGGGTAATTCTCCTTTTGACAGGCCCGCCACCCTCTACAGTGATGAAATGCGGATCTGATGAATGCTTTCACACATTTCCTAACCCTGGTCTGTTTTTAGGCTGAACAGCCATTTTTAATCACGCCATGTCAGATGAGCTGTGGACCACCAAAACACACTGTGAAAACTATGAAGACAGAGGCCACTGACTGAAACTCAATGGGATAATATAACAGATACATCTACGGCTGCAGTAAACAATTAATTTTATAATGCTTTATATTTATCAATTCTTTTTTCAACTTTGGTCTATAAAATGACAAAAAAATAAACATTAGAAAATGACTATCATTTGTTTTGTAGAACCAACAGTACAAAATCCAAACATTTCATTTACAGTGATAAAAACAGAAAAGCAAACAATCCTCATATTTGAGATGATGGAACCGCAGTTGTTTGGTATTTTTGCTTCATATATAACTCAAATGATGACATATAACTTAAATGAGATGATAATTAATTAGTCCTCATGTTCCAAACCATTTTGCAGTCGTCACTGCAATAAAATGAACTGTGTAAAATAGTCCACATTGACGAGCACTCCCACCATGCACTGTGTGATGCTCAAAGGTTAAAAGCTCTTTTAGTAGAGAATCCGTTTGGAGTACCCACTGCACATGAGAGCACAGTTTAGTCTGTGTGCCCCTGAAGCGCATCACTTTTTGTATGGTTTAATCCAATTTTCATCATTAATGTACTTTGTTATCTATTACAGCATGTGAACTGCGCGCTATAAAATGTGAAACTGCAGTTCTTTTGTTAAGCAAAGATCAATGACTGTGATTAAATCTTTTCAATTTCCGCTATCTGTAAGGTCCAGGAAATCAATTTCTATGTTTCTAACATAGATAAGGCCTTTAACCTTTGGCCTTTAACCTTTGAACCAAGTCCATTTCATGACCTTGCAGGTATCATGAAATGGACTTGCTAATCAATACAGGCAAGGCTGGTTTCTATCTGACTGTGTTAACAGAACATCAATGGTCATCTGAGACATGAGTACCGGATTATTGATTTTAATTGGTAATTGGTGTTAAAGCTGTTTTAACACAAGTTAGCCATTGTCACCCTACACAGATATACATATATTTTATCCAGATGTGTTTTCAGTGAATGGACAGAACCTACACAAGTGTGGTTTTTATACCATCTGGATAGGTGTGCTTGGGTTTAAGAGGATTGAGGGATGTGCATCATGTCTCGCTGGCTTTTTTTTGGTTGTTGTGTTTTGTGATATCTTTCTGTCCTATTTATGGATCATCAGTCTTTCCTGCCTAAAACGCACTTCGTAAATAATTAATGGTCACAGCCCATTGCACCCGTTAGACTGTCAGAAGTCTGGGACACCATATCTACACACACACAAACGTAATTGTTATGCGAGGGTCAAAATAAAAGTAGTACACTTTTTACACATTACACACATGCTGTCTCCCCAGAATTCATGTGCCTTTAGTTCACATCCCACATTCCCTCAGCATTAATGGTGAGCGATGAGTAGCATATAAGTAATAGTTTATTTATTAGTTAATTTGGCAAGAAAGAGAGGGAGAGATAGGAGGAGAAAGATTGGATGAATTAACTGATAGTGTTAATTGATGATAACTCTGAAAGCGTTCAGGTGTAATAAGGAGTCTGTTGTTCTGTAAAAATAAAGCTTCTGATACCCCACCTTCCATCTCTCTTTCCCCTTGCACATACAGTGTCTCCCTATACTGTGAGATTTGCGTCAATGGTGCAGCTGTAAGGTGTACTAAAGACAGATAAACAAGCACACACACACACTTGAACACACACATACAGTTCAGTTTAATAAAAAAAAAAGAAAAACTAAAAAAAAAAACACAGAAAACACACATACAGAGAAGCTGGGTTGAGGGGCTATCTCTCCTCTCAGTGTACTGCGGTCCATCGACCCTGCATGGCTGCTCTCAGCTGGATACGTGTCATCCACAGCAGCACTGCCTGTTAGGGGGAGAGTGAGGGCTGCGGAGGGTGTAAGGGAGGTGGAAATAAATGGGGAGAGGGTAGCACCAGTGAGGAGAGTGTGGTAGAGGGAGGGGATGCAGGGGTGATGCCATGGAGGAAACAGGATGAAACAAGAAACAAAAGAGGAGTGTGTGCTGGTGCGTATATGCAGCCTACTCACTGGCTTCAGATTTGAACGGGGGTCAGAGGTGAAATGGGGTTGTCTGTTAGATGTTACTCGGCATCATAGCTCCCAGGAAGAAGGGTCAGTAGTCAGCCTCTTCCTTTATCTGATCCTCTCTCCTGTTCTTCTGTTGAAAGTCATGTGGTTTTCTGACTCTTGTTTACCCACCTTGTGTCCCCCATCTCTCTTTACTAGGTATCTGTGGTGATGTTGCCATGTGCCAGTTGCCAACTACTCTTGTCCTTCTTTATTCAGGTAAGACTACAGACGCTAAGAATGTGTTGTATGTGTACCAAGTAACTACATATGTGTAAATATGTTCTTCATTACTTACTACTTACTCATAATTTACTGGTAGAATATGAAAGTACTCATGGTTCGCCTTTTTTGGAATTAGGCTTATTTTCTTTTTTTTTTAAAAAGACTAGACTTAGAGAAGATCAATAGCACTCTCTGTATCTATCCGTTCACTGTAATGTAACAACAGTGACTTCCTGTTATCTCCACTGGTTGCTTGGCAACCTCACAGTGATGACAAGACTCGAAGAAGTCATTGCACCTGGCCAGGAAATAGTACAGAGTATAACAAATTATTACTTTAACACTGTTTTTGTATGGATTAAACAAAACAAAATAAAACATGTTACTGTGAGTTTTAGAGGTGGCTGTTGTTACCTGTGCACAGAGGCAGGCTGTTTCTAGTCTTTATGCTAAGCTAAGCTAACCAGGTGTTGGTAATAGCCTTATTATTGGCAGTGGTATCAATCTACTCATCTATCCCTAAGCAAGAAAGCAAGTAATCCTATTTCCCAACATGATGAATAATTTCTTTAAATTGTCATGCTACAATTTCATGTCACACTGCCGTATGAGTATTTCAGGGGCTAGTCTGCCCCAGCGGTTGCTTTTTGTTTACGTATGGGGCAAATAATACAGAATATATTTTTGGGTACATTTTACTACACAGACTGAAAATGTTTTCTTTGTAAATTAGGCTGTTGAACACTGAAGATCAAGCAAATACTGGTTATAATGCAACAGGCAGAGACATACAGTATAAGTTGGCCACAGACATTAACCAGTAAGTTCTCCAGTTGTCTTTATCTCTGACAACGACAGGTTTGAGAGTTGACCGCCAAACCCAAACTTTTGAATTTCAGAGACAGAAAAGATTCCAGTGTCACATTATCCATTTACAGTGTCCCTGTTTGTTTAAAGTTTAACTACACCATTCAGTTCTGCTAGCTCCCTCCCTATCAGCAAATTTAAAAAATGCACCAGAGAGCTACAAGGAATAGTGACTTTAGGGAGAATGGCCTTGACCGGAATGACTGACAGACTGACCACAGCAGCGTAGCAGAAACAGCGGCTGGTAGTCAGAGCTAATGAGCAGCTGCTGTCAGACTCTCTGTGTCTGTGCTGGAAACACAGCGAGTTCACTGGAGTTTTTACATTCACTTGAAGCACTTTGACGTCATTTGTAAAAGTTTCTGTGTTGTAGCTAAGCTATCGGCTCAGAGAGGCTAACTCTGCCATATGTGTTTGTGTCTGTGGGGGAACTGTCAGTGCGTGGGATCAAGGTAAACGTTGTAGTCCGGTGGTGTTTCTACAGTCCAAACCACTGTCCCAGAATTGAGAAATACTCAGTAGAGAATTAGCAAAAAACTAGCTATTAACTCCTGTGAATGATGCATCTGGATCAGTATACATTTGAAAATGAGCACAGCAGTTTCACAGACTCCCACTCAGTGTGATGGCTGGGGAGGTGGGCTGTCCTCTGATTAGAAGGCGATAGCTCCATTTTTTTTATATAAATGTTATGACTTAGAGCATTTGGCTTGAATTTTGGTGATGATGATGATTTTACTTTAATAAGACAAAGAATATGTTCACTATGGTGTGTTGTGTTTTAAACCTTAGCATGCTAAATTTTCATAGTGTATGAACTGAGATGAGCTTTAACCAGTGGCTGCCTAAAAAAGAAAGAAAAATGCATTCATAAATCTGACGTAATATGACATACTTTGGAAAACTGACAGTAGTTTACTTGCTTACTAATAAAGGGGCTAAAACATGCAAACATATATGTTCATAAGTCAAGAGCACTGTCCTGTGCTTTAGTCTGCTTGGCAATATTTTTAGTAATAAAGGAAGGACAAAATGTGAAACATTTTCTGTTTCACAGTGTATGCTTTGCCTGCACAGTTGCTCTTGAGACAGGAAGCTGGGTTTGGGCACTTTCCAAGAGGTTATAATGAAGCAAACATTCAATTTCAGTGGACACCACAAGAGCTGTGTAAAAATGCTGGTAGATATTATTTGGCACATTTCTGGGAAATTGACTTCAAGAGCTGCCAATTACATTAAAGCATACTGTCAAAGTAAGGCGTTGAGCGAAACTGTTGTTAGAGACTCAGCTCCATAAACAATTTTATATGCCACAGCACACACATCCATGTGAAGTACACATACACTTAAAACAAACACACAGCCACATCTGCAGCGTTGTTGCAGTGCTGTCCTCAAAACTGAGCTCATTACAAAGTTCCCCTTTGTGTTAGTTTTAAAGTGGCCTCTAATAATGATGTTTGTTTAAAAAAGTTTTTTTTTCCAGGAACTCCAGCTATTTCAGTGGAATACTGGAAATCATTCAAAGTGGTTCTACTTTTTCCCCCCAGTGCACAAGCATAAACACACATACTATGAACACACACACACATACACACATCTAGCTGCTTGGAGAATGGATATTAATCTTTCATCGACACCAACAATATCCTTCCCAAAAAGCTACATTGTATATCCATCAAATACATTTCAGGTAGTCTCCTGTGGGATTCTGACAGGAAACAACTTCTTAAAGCAAACTCGCTGGGGACAAGAGTGACTTCAAAAGATATCAAAGTACATCAAACAAATGGACTCCAATCATGTAATAATGATTTATCATACACTAATCATATTTCCTGTGTGTCTCCTACATGTTTCCTGAACACACTAATTCAGATCTATGTTGGTTGACAGAGAAGGAAGCTAAGAAATAGAAATAGTCTGCTTTTAGGTCAACCCCTCAGAGAAGCAGAGGTGTGTGCATGTGTGTGTATGTGTGTGGATGTCTGAGTGTGCGTGTGTGGGTGGGTGTTTGTCTGGGTTTGTGTGTTTGTCTGTACGTGTGTGTCATATTACAGAGCAGAGTGGTAAAGGTATGGCAGCCGCCTGCAGAAAAATCTGAGCTGCCTGCATCTAAGAGAAGCTTTCATCCTCCTACCTGCCCACCAAAGAGGGGAGGCATACTCTCTCTCTCTCTCTCTCTCTCTCTGCCAGCAATCAACAGAAATTTCACTACAAGCTTGCTCCTTGGTCTAGATTGATTTTCATAGTCAAAACGACAACATCCAGCTTCTGTCTTATCTCTCCTGAGAACTGAAAAGACTGCGAAAGAGACATGAGAGGCATTCAAGAGAAGAAAGCTATTTCCTACTCAGGGCTTTTACTGACTTTGCATTAGCTAAAACGCTTAAAAGTTATAAACAAGCAAGAGAGTAAGAACAGGTTATTTATCATATCTTACAGCTGAATCTTGGGATCGTTGGACATTTAATACTGCAGTTGCATAAAGTTGTTGAACTTGCAAGAAAAGAAAGGTCAAAATCAATGCAGCAGGGGCTGGGATATGCTGACTTTAATACCCCATTTTAACCTGGTATTAATATGCAATATATCTGAATAAGAAAAAATCCATGTTAATGCAAGGTGTATGATGCACACAGACTCTGCAGACGTGCTAGAGGTTTTGGGAAGCTAAGTGATGCTATGAGCTGATTGCATGCTAACATGCTTGCAAAGACAATGCTAAAATGTTTAGCGAGTTTAATGTTTACTATCTTGGTTTAGCGTGTTAGCATGCTGACGTTTGCTGATTAGCACTAATGGTAAATGGATGGACTACACTTGTATAGCCCTGTCTAGTCTTCCGACCACTACGTGCCACATTCACCCGTTCACACACATTCGTACAATGATGGCAAAGGCAAACAAACACAAACAGAAACTAACTCATTCATGCACAGCACAGGCAGCAATTCAGTATCTTGCTCAAGGACACTTTGACATTCATAGGGAGGAACAAGGGATCGAGCCGCCAACCCTGTGATGACATACCGACATTGCCAACCTTAGCGTTAACTTGACTGAAAACTTACCCTACAACTTGAAAGGTCACCTAATTCCAACTCTTGCCGCTATCACAACAAATGCCTATGACCCCTTTCTCTGCCAGTGAAAAATAAGATGAGCCCATATAGCAGCATTGCTTCCCTTCTTCTGGGACACATTTTATGATTGATCACAATAGTGACAGAATTGAGATAGCAAAGCAGTGGTCAAATATCATTTATCAGACGTCCAGATAGAATTCATGTTATTCCATCTTTTATTATTCCTTCCTTACCTGGTAAATTCCGACGTCTTTCAGATTCTACAACCACAGTTTGTAAAGCATGCTTAAAATCCCAATTTCTAATCCCAAGCTGATATAATACTGATGATATCTTTAGGGGACAAAGCTTCCCCCAGAGCCACAGAAGACATTATACAATTGTTTTTAGAGACTGAGTATTTCTGTCCATGACTGAATCTGTGCAATCCTCCTTAATATTGCCTATTAAAAATTGTTCAGGCTATCTCTGAGAAAAGTGAACGTGGAGAATGTTGATGAAAAAGAGAGTCAAAACAGACAGCGATAGCTTTAATTGAGTTGTAAGCTATGATAAGTAGCATCAGCTGTTGTTGGCCTCATTGTTGTCAGTTAGCTTCTTTCATGGCAAAATGCATTCAGCCCTCGCACTGTAATTATGCAGGGGAGAGGGGGAGCAATAAATCTGGTAATACACACACACACACACCGCACACACATACTTTGGGGTATAAAATCATGGACGAGTGGAGAATTGTTGGAACAGAGATCAGATTAGAGAAGCTTTTCTGATCTGTGGCATGAGAAGGCTGGGCTCATGTATCAACCAGCCATCTAAGCTGGCTTATCCTGATACAACTAGGGGCAAACACACGCACACACACATACAAGAAGAAAGTTTATTGGGTGATGTAAAGAAGAGGGGGGGTTGTAGAACAGTGGGGTGCAATCTCCAAACAATTCCACATCCTTTTTAGTCATGGCCTGGCTTTGGCTGTGAAGCGGAAACGACTTTGAGCCCTTGTTAACAGTGTCCCCAAACTCCACTACAGGTCTACTTTGCTGTCTATATACTTTATAGTAACACTTAAAAAGTATTTCATCCTGCAGCTTTATTCTGACAGCTCTGTGATTTGTCCTGTATCACGTGGATTGATTGAGTTATCTCTCTTCTGCTCTCTTCCCCTCTCCAAGCAGGACTGATGTCCAGATGGTGTGCCCCTCCATGTGTGGTCCAATTCAGCTCTCCCTGACCTTTTCATGGGCCACAAACCGACCCAAGTATCCACGGCCACTGCTTGACTCAACCCCACCGCACACTGTACACCTCACCCTTAACCCCTCACCCCTAACCTTCACCCTCAGCCCCCCACCTCCCTCTGCCCCACTCTCTGTCAAGCGTCTCCTCACATTTTGACAAACCTAGCCCTCCCTGAGCCCAACATGGTAGCCCGTATTCCTGCCCTAATCTTGGTCATGATGTGTCGGGGCGTCTTGCTCTCTGTCGGAGACCCACCACCGTCCCGCCGGGAGATCCGCATAGAGGGAGATCTGGTGCTCGGCGGTCTGTTCCCGGTCCACGAGAAAGGTGCTGGGATGGAGGAGTGTGGGCGTGTGAACGAGGACAGAGGGATCCAGAGGCTTGAGGCCATGTTGTTTGCCATAGACAAAATCAATATGGACAACACTTTGCTGCCTGGGGTCTCCCTTGGGGTCCACATACTGGATACCTGCTCCAGAGATACCTATGCACTGGAGCAGGTGAGTAAGCATGGTCACATAAACATAATGTTTCTCAATGTAATCAAATCCTCAACAAAAGTAAGACTCGTTGAAATAGCTAAGTTAGAGCATTCATTCTCTTTTTTTGTGTTGTAGAGCTTGTTCAGTTGCATTTACATGTGAATGCTAATACAACTTTTTAGGTACAGCTCAGATACAGTTTAATTAGCTGTTTGTTCTTTTGTGCTGCCAGGCGACTTGAACTTTTGCTAGATTTTTTCTCTGCAAAGTAAGTTGTGGTATCGGAAGTAAAAAGTGCAATGTTTCCATTTTAAATCAAGTAAAAACTATAAGGACTCATTAAAAGGTAATATTCAGGTAAAGTAAATGTACCTCGAAATTCTATTTTATCCACTACAGGTAAAGGATGGTTGCCTAAAATGATAACAGCAAATCCTTGATGAGAAATAGAGATTGAAGCAATTTGCAATGAGGGAAATGAGCCGATTAAAAAAAATAAAGCACTTTCCCTCAGAGACTGTTATCTTAAAAAAAAAATCTATTGTATCTTATTGCTGAGCTATTTTTGGGATGATGCATCTTAAGTTCTTTTACAATGAGCCCTTTGACTGATAGTATAAACCCTGGATTCTTGATGTTTGGTTTCCTTAAGTAGGTTGCAGGTTAATTGGCTGTTTGTCCTCATACCTACAATATGGTATAATATGCCTTGGTCTCTGAGGAGTTAATTTGCAATCTGGACCCTGTACTGAAAAGCATTTAAGAGCCTCTAGTGTAAAGCAATGGGTTTTTATAGTCCCTTAAAAAAGGATAGAATTTTTACATAATAAGAAAACTATCAATTATGTTGCATATTTCTTATGAAGAATGTAATTCAAAGTGTTTCACAGGCTGATTAAGAATGAACACATTATATCGACCATATGGTACCCAGTATGCTGCATCCAGCACTTGATATAAAATATCTATGTGGTGTGTTTCTTAGGCTCTGGAGTTTGTAAGAGCCTCCCTCACCAAGGTGGACGACACAGAGTTCATCTGTCCAGACGGGTCTTACGCTCTGCAGGATGACAGCCCGCTGGCAATTGCTGGAGTCATAGGTGGATCCTTCAGCAGCGTCTCCATACAGGTAACATGACCCATGCAGGTATAGGAATATTTGTACAAGCACATTTGTACTATAATCATCAAACTTTAATGTCCTTGGTGGTTTCTTCTCTCATTTTTTACTCCACCTCACACAAGCACTGTAACCAAGTGTACAAAGGCTGACTTCCAGTGACATGGCAGTGCAAGTGTTTCCATGCCTGTGTCACTGCATGTGTGTGTGTGTGTTTGTGTGTGTACTTATTTCTTAGAATCAACTTCCATTGGTGTGTCTCCCCAGCTCTTGTAGCTCTTGTCACAGAGCTGGGTAATTTGCATAGTTTAGCATAAAACCCCCTTCTCCCTTACTCCTCTGTGACTGCACAAAAGCATCCTCCTATCAGTCCTTAAATCCCTAATCTTTGCAACTGTCTCTCTGTCTTCTCATTCTCGCCCTCTCTTTCTCTCTCTCTCTCTCTCTCATTTTATGTGTTTCTCTTTTTTTCTGTCCCTTAAATCTTTCTCTCTCACCTCTCATCACTGCCTACTTCTCTTTTTTCTCCTTCTTTATATGCATTCAGAGGCACCCCTCGCGGCTATTTGGGGAGAGCTCAGTGTATGCTGACCTCAGCCCCCTTCTTCTTCTCCTCCTCCTCCTTCCTGGGGCAGCCATTGTTAACACATCTGCTTTGTCTCTTGTCCTTCATCACACATACTTATCCATTATTTTCTTGCAGCTCATCCTTGTTGCCCTTTGTTGCTGTCGCTGTTGTTTTTACCTGCCTTTTTTCAGAGAGCAGCAATGTTTATGAGACCCGAACTGTGCTCTGCTTTCTGATCTCCTGCCAGTGAAGCTAATCCAGCTACTCCTTCATGCCGCTCTACTTGGCCAGTCTGTCTGTTGCTTCCAAATGAAGTCATAGGGAATTATTTTATGTTTAACCATGCACAACTAAACTCCAATGTTTTAAAGGCATTTACATAGCAGGCATCATACCTCTCCACCATTTGCACACGTGTGTGTCTCTGTGTGACTGTGTGCGTGTGTGTGACTTGCATTCCAAGCAGAAAACACACAGCAGCCCTCCACTGCACCAATTTTTTCCTCCTTCCCTTTCATTTTTTTTTTTTTACTCGTCTCTCATATTCAACCCATTCCTATAGTACATCTCTCTTCCCTCTATCTCACAGGAAGGGAGCTGCTTTCACTAACAGAGTAAACTCTCAATGTCCCTACAGACAGGCCTCTTAGCTGGCTGTAGTCATTGTTCAGTGGCAGGTAATGGAGCAATGCGGTTACATTTTGCAGCGTGACCTTCCCTGACATTTAAGTCAAGTGCCATCTTAAAACCATAAAACCTGCCCGAAGTGCTATAAGAAGCCATCCACGTGTGTGTGTTTGGGGGGGGGTACATGTCAACCTGTCCTTTTGCACATCAGTATATGTATACAAGTGTGTTTTCTAATCTTCTACATTATTAGTCTAATGAGATTCTGACATGTTGTCAAAACAGCTCATCAACTGAGCTATGAATGAAATATAGAAAAGCCCAGAGTGATGCGCTCTAAAAGGATTAAACTGAGGCGAGAACAGAATGGCTGTGTAGTTTGCGTTATTTGTGTGTGTGCATGTTCAATTGTGTATGTTTACATGTCCTTTGTGTGCATGAGAATGTGTAGCAATTATATTTCCAGTGTTTGTGTTGGCGTCTGTTACTGAAATTGTAATGAAGAGAACATGACCAAACCCCAATCAACAGTAAAAGGGAATATTATATGGACATCAGTAGACCCCAGATGATGTCCATCACTAATGCATGAGTCAGTGATTTATTGAACTACTGTGTGTGTGTGTGTGTGTGTGTGTGTGTGCTATTTTGTGTTTCTCCATGTGCATAGATCCCTATACTTGCTGCATTGTCTTTTATCTTTAAATAATCACATTACGCATGAAGCAATTCCTATCCTACCCTTCTAAAATATGTTCTAAATTATCCTTTGATGAAAAAAAAATGTATTAAAGGATTATTCCTATAATTATTTTTGTGGGTCATATTTTCAAGTTTTTGTCAATGTGCCAATCATTTCTATCAAACTTTTAACACATGGTAAAGTGAAGGGCTTGACACACATAGAGATCTGCTCTCCAATACAGGCCGGTCAGTCAAAGGGAAAATAAATTAAAAAACTCAACAATACTACCCCTGCAGTTAGGCATGTCTTTAAATAGCTGTCCTTGAGCTGATTTATTGTAGTTAATAACAGAGCTCAACAATAACTGCTGCAATAAAGGCTCTAGCAACAGACAGCCTATTGTTAGCTAGCAAACTTAAACACGGTTAAAAGGCCAAGCAAACGGTCTAAAGTGTGGCTGTGTTTCACACATTAGTATTAGTACTGTAACTCTTATTTAGTGTTTAATCATTTGGGTTGGCTTACATTGTCATTTTTATGTAAATTTTTGTTATTAATTAATTAATTAAATTAATTTGTTAAAGATCCAGTGCGTAACATTTAGACCCTCCTATTGGCAGAAATGGAATATAATATCCTTAGGTATGTCTCCATGAGTATGTGTAATCACCTGAATAAAGGAATCGTTGTGTTTTTCATTAACTTAGAATGAGATGTTTATGTACGGACGACACACCATATTGAACCCCCATGTTTCTACAGTAGCCAGAACAGATAAACCAAACAAATATAAAGGATTTATCAAAACAAATAGCGCCCTTCAGATGATAGGCAACAGTCCACGTGTATCGCTGTGCTGTTGCTACTGTGCTGATATCACGATTGACCAAATAACAGCAAGGAAATTATGCATGAGCACGTGTGAGAGGAGTAAATGCACGATGGAAAGGAGAATTAACTACAGGCCTGTATTTAAAAGAATAGTGTACCTGACTGAACTTTCACTAGAGCCAGCTATCAAGAAGAAATTATCATCTTTTACAAAGACACTTCAGAAAGTGTTGCAAATGGTTAGTTTTGCACCATTATTACCATATTAGAGACAGGAGCTTCCTACAAGCTGAAACACTATTCTATTTACTGTATTGTTCAGAGTGCCCAGTATTGGTCAGATATTTTTGTCTTCAATTAAAACATTTTGAACTCATCATCTGGGAAGCATTCCAAGGGGTGGGCACATCCTTTGTAGCAGTGTCTGGTATGTAGATACCAGAAAAAAGGGTTAATTCTAGTCATTCTAGTGTGGCTCCAATCCAAACTGAAAAACACACTTTTCAACACAAATGGAGAGGTTTGTCATCCAGTGTAATACAAAAATGATCTGCTTTTGAGATACTTCACCACTTCCTCTGCGTATCCTCCAGTTTCCTGCTCTTTGTGTGTACTTGTATGCTTCTTTCAAGTGCCACATTAAATTACAGTACAGTAATTGGCTCTGTTGCTGCCACCAATCAAAACATTTGCATTGTAAACACTACAAGTAGCTGCTTGACTGCATTCAGTCTTGAGTTTACACCACATGCTTGACTGATACTATGTGCTTTCAAACTGTGTACCTCTACTGCTGCAACTGGTAGTTCTTGCTTAAAGGAAATAATTTCAATGTCACATATGACTGAGAGGTTAATGGGACACAATGCAATAAGACATCAAATTTGATTAACATCGGATATCAAATTACAGTCTTCATACAAGTCAATAAAACTGTGATCAAAATCAATTAAATCAAACAGACTAATCTGGAATAGATTTATGGGAATTAGTTTTTAGGTGTTTATGCGGAGAATTGTGTTAGTCTATCTAAAATCTCTCTCCTTTATAATAGTTTATTCTGGAACCAAATAATTAGTATAATACTACCTTATTATTACATATCCCCATGTGCTGGATAATCCAGGCTAAAAAAGAGTTAACAATCAATCAATGTTTATTAAAAAGTAGTCATAGTTTAATTTTGCTGAAATTGATTTATTTATTTTACTGTCTCTCTCCCATCAGGTTGCCAATCTTCTCAGGCTCTTCCAGATTCCTCAGATAAGCTATGCGTCCACCAGTGCTAAGCTCAGTGATAAGACCCGGTACGATTACTTTGCCCGCACGGTGCCCCCTGACTTCTACCAGGCCAAAGCCATGGCCGAGATCCTCCGGTTCTTCAACTGGACGTACGTGTCCACTGTGGCATCAGAGGGTGATTATGGTGAAACTGGTATAGAGGCCTTCGAACAAGAGGCACGCATGAGGAACATTTGTATCGCCACTTCAGAGAAGGTAAGGCATGGAATAGAATACAATAGAATATGATTTCATTTCTGCATGAATATAAGCAACCAGTGCTCAATGCCAGATACCAAAAACCCCAAACTTTAATCAGCAGTGTCACACTGATGTATGGCCTGAAGCTGCACCAGTAACAATGAGCGGGGCACTAAATTTGTGAGCTTATAAAAGTTTGCCTCCATGTCTTATCTTGTCTTACACACAAATGGGGTTTATATTACACTGGTGTTATCAGTTGTGAACCAGAAAATGAAAGCTTATCTCCAAGAACTTATTCTGGGATACTTTCACAGTCACATTTTTCATCTCATTTGCTACGGAGGTGCTTGATGGTGCGAGACCAAAGTACAGAAGGCATTTTTTGCTTGTTTCTTCCTATGAATGATAGATATAGGGAGATATAGGGACCCTCAAACCTGTTTGGGAGCAAAAGAAGCATTTACAATACATCTGTCATTACATTAAGGTCCTTTTTCTGTCCAGGTGGGGCGTTCTAACGCGAAGAAGTCCTATGAAGCTGTGATCCGTCAGCTCCTCCAGAAACCAAATGCCCGTGTGGCCGTCCTCTTCCTGCGCAGCGACGATGCCAGAGAGCTGCTGGCAGCTGCTGCCAGGCTTAACACCTCCTTCATCTGGGTGGCCAGTGATGGCTGGGGTGCGCAGGAAAGCATTGTCAAGGGAAATGAGGTCACCGCTGAAGGAGCTATCACACTTGAGCTGTCAGCCAATCCCGTGCCAGAATTCAACCGCTACTTCCTCAGCCTGAACCCGAGCAAAAATCATCGTAATCCCTGGTTCAGGGAATTCTGGGAGCAACGGTTCCAGTGCTCTTTGGGTGGGGGAGGAGCAGGGGGAGTAGGAGGAAAAGGTGTTGGATTGGGAGAGATGTCTCTCCCGCCATGTGACAAGGACTTGTCAATGGACAAGAGTAACTTTGAACCAGAGTCCAAGATCATGTTTGTGGTTAACGCGGTGTACGCCATCGCCATTGCCCTCCATAATATGCAACGGAGTCTGTGCTTCAACACCACCAAGCTGTGCGACAGCATGAAGGCACTGGATGGGCGCAGACTCTACAGGGATTACATCCTTAATGTCAGCTTCACAGGTAAGAGAGCCGGGGCATGACGAACAGAGTGAAGAGTCCTAGATAAGGTGTTCAAGGTGGATGAAAAGTGAAAAGAAATAAATGTTGGAGAAGAAGTTGAGGAGGAAAGGGGGGAGATAGCAAGAAATAGACAGGAATGCAAGTGCTGTGCCTAGTTAACAGTCCTCTCATGAACAACGCAGGGATGTTGTCCTTCTCCTCCGTCAAAGCAGCCAAACCACAGAACATAAAAAGTACCAAGACAAATCCGCTTAATTGCTATGTATTGTAAGAGCCAGCCTGCCATTGACACCTATTACCCATGCGTAATTGATACGACACTACAAAGTTGCTTTGAGGAATGAGAGCTGCAGTTAATCCGTCAGCCATATTCTTCTCACTTGCACTAATGAGATTGTGTGTGTTATAATAGCTCCTATAGCAGGCTGCCTGTCTGTCTGTCAGTCTCTGTAGAGTTGGGAGAGAAGAGACAGAGGATTGGCTTGACTGACAGATTGCGTACAAAGAAAGCGTTATAAATAAACTGCTGTGTCTCGGGGACTGACACAGGTTTAGAGGTGCTTATTCCTCCACCAACCGTGACCAGGAGCAGACATCAAAACAGCCAGACAAACAACACTAACACGGCAGCTTTGCCACAGGACACTGGGGAGAGAGCATGGAGGGATGGATGGAGGACGAAAGAATGGCATCACCTACAGAGGGAGGGGGAAGGAAGCTTACAGATAAGACTGACAGGCAGACTAAAGTGTGAGAAACTAGAGTTTGGGGTAAGAGAAAAGGGACTAAGACAGAAAAAGAGATAAGGAGGGAAGGAGGGAAGGAACAAGGGAGCACTGAGGCAATGCCGGAGTGGGACGGCGTGCGTCAGCAGAAGACAAGGATTCTCTTTGAAATTCCCCATCTTCATTTCTGCTACAAATCAAAGGACTTGGAGCATTTCTGCCTGAGAGGAGGGAGACAGAAAGAAGGAAAGAGAGAGAAGAAGAGTGTGAGTAAGATAGAGAGGGAAGGAGAGAGAGGAAATAGTCAAGGCGATTGCAGTTGCAGCCTCCAGTTGGCACAAATGATAACCACTCCCTTATTGGAAGCATAGAGAGAGGGACGGAAGAGATATGTAGATTTACACATAGAAAGTTTAAAAATGCCATGGAGTAAGTTGGAGAGGATAGGAGAAGAGGTGTGAATCCAGCTGTGACTTCCCTACATCTCTATGTCTGATCATCTTTCTTCATTACATTCTCCTCTCTCGCTCTCCCTTCTTTCTTTTCACTACTGATGTATGTCGATGAGGCACATGTCTTTACTCTGCAGCAGGGAAACAGTAACAGCATGTACAAGGATCTTGAGTTCTTTACAGCTCAGCGACGGTGACAGCATAGGCAAACAGCTCTATTGGTTTCAAAGAATCAGTGCTAATAGGACAATGAGGATGTTGAAGGTGGTGGTACAGTTAAACTGAGAACTGTAGCAGGGTTTGTTTTGACTTGTTGGTTAGCCCCGAATGACGCACTCACACTGCTGTACATATACATTTTTTCCATCTACAGTACGTAAGGAAAAGAGCTGAGGTGAGTTGAGGTTGAATGTGGGGTATAAATACTGCAGCATCACCATCTGCAGTGCTCTCAGTCTGAACTGTAGCAGACGGAAAACCAACACTGTTCAGCGCTCTCTATCTCTCTCCCATCTCCTTCTCTTACACACACATGCATGTTCATTATACATTCACAAAGTTTGATATATCTCTTATATGTTCGTGCTTCCCAGTTTACTGAATTGCTACCCCCTTTCCTTAACTTTACATTCATAACACAGCGAGTTGTGTCTTTACACGATAAAGATGTTTGTGTTGTGTGTTACTGACAGCGTATGTGGTGCACTGAGGCAGTATGTTGTGTGGTTAGGAGTGTGTTTTCACACGCCGTTCTCTTCATCTAGTCTCATCTCGCTAGTTGCTATGGTAATGAAGCCGACACTATTGCCAATTGTTGAAGTGATCTGGTAGATCATGGGAACTGCTCCCTACCAACTAGTAATAGACACAGGGGTACATTTGTGCATTTTTATTAGGCCTTGCTACATTCTTCCGAACACAAAACACACACGTTTGTGCAAGAGACACATACACAAACACATGCAAAACAGTCAGCTTTTTTACAAAGAGGCAGCCTGAAATGCTTGTTTTTTTTACCAGCATGAAATTGCAGACACCCCCAACCCACACACTTCTCCAAGCCATCATTCAACTCCCACCCACCCACCTCCCCGATCTGCAGCAAACATATCAGTATATACACACATGCGCGCAGTCTTCTGTTCAAATAGTGGTGATAGATGTGATATTATTCCCCCTTCTCTGCGCTTTTGTGTGTGTTTGTGTGTGTGTATGTGCGTCTGTGTGTGTGTTGGTGCGTGCGTGCATGCGCGTGTGTGTGTGATACGTCTGTGTGAGCAGAGGCGGTGTGCCTTCAGGGCCATATTGAGCAGAGAGCTTACTGCAACGTTTAGATACTAGAGAACAACCTCCTCTCTTCCCTCATTTTCTGTTCATACTGTTCCTCTGTCTCTCTGTTTCTGTCACTCTCTGCTTGTCTGTCTGTCTGTCTCTCTTTCTGTCTCTCTTTTCTCACTCTTCATCACTCTCTATATCTCTTACTTTCTCACCCAGAGAGTGTCCTACTCTCTCTACATTCAAAAACAGCACATCCCACTCAGACTTCACAAGGTTGCTCTCCTGCCTCCACCGCCTCTCTGCGCGGGTCTGCTCCTCCACTCCTTCACTCTGCTCATCCCTCCATCACCTTTTCTCTATTGATTCCTCCGTCTAAAGGCTTTCCTCCATCCACCTATATCTCTGCTGCCGTCACATCAGTTTCTTGCTTTTCTCTTTTGCTATCTCCTCTCGTTTTTTCTCGCATTCTACTCCCTCTACTCCCTTGTCACTTCCCTCCTTTCTTTGCCCTTATCTTGTCTCTTGGCTCATCCTCCCTCCCGACACCCCCGGCTTTTGGACGGCCATTTCTCTCTTTTGTCTCCTCTATCTCACCACCTTTCTTTCTGTCAAGCCTCAGCTCTCTGCTGCTGCTGCACCTTTCCTCCTATACATTTCCCTCCCTTGTTCTAGACGTCCTTCTCTCCACCCTATCTATCCTCTGTTCCCCTGTGGCCTGTTGGTCCATGGCCCAGGCAGCGCTTCTGTCCCCGGGGACCAAATCTGCAGGGAGAATAAATATAGCTGATGTGATCTGTCTCTGTGTGCGTTTGTGACATGTGAGTGCATCCCTGTGTCCATATCTGTATAGGCTCAGGGATGTGCATATGTGTGTGTCTCTGTGGGGCACAGATGTGTAAGGTCATCAACCCTCTGAAGGAAGAAAAAGAGGGACAAGAAAGGTTGGTCACAGCATTAGCATGCACAGCCAATATATCTTTCTATTTTACCTGGAACAGATGTGCACTTGTACATGTATCTATGTGCAGAGTTTACTTTGTCAAGCTTAAATCACGATTAAATCAGGGATTCAGGTGAATTGATGCTTGGAAATACAATTCTCTATTCCCTTGCCAACAACTAATCAACAGCCAGCTTTCAAATTTTTAGTCACACACTCACACAAAGAAAACATTTGCCTTGTCTCTATCTCTCTCTCTCTCCACTTTAGATTACTTATTCCTACTTATTCCTCCGAAGCCCCTTTGCCTCCTCTCTCTCTCCTTGCCTTTAATACCCAGAATCCCCCTTGGGCTTCGCTTTAGCCCGACATGGCCGAGGACATAATTAATTTCACAGCTTCTGAATGAAAAGCCTGTTTTCACCATGCTTCTAATTAAGCTAGAATAATAAGGTGTTTCTCAAGTTAGCGGGAATGCTAAAGTATCTGACAAAAATTAAGGATCTGGTTAGGCTTCGTTAACAGCAGTTTGTCTCACCTAACTTTATTTGATTTTTTTATACTATTATTTGTTTTATGTTCTGGGGCCCCAGCTGTTTGATTAACTGCATTCACAAAAAATAAACGCAGATTTTGGATGACAATAAATCCTCTCGGATAAACAGCAGTATGTTCACAGTTGGAGAACGTCTCTGAGAAGGCATGGACCTTTGGATGCTGGCAGCACTCGGAGCTACAAGTATTGCTGAGGGCTGAGGCTGCTGTAGGTCTCCGCTGGACTAGACTGCGCCAGTGGGAAGTGTTGTATGGATGATGTCATACAGACTCATCAATCATCTCTGTTTTAGGGCTTCAGATGCATTATACCATGTGTTCAGACACCACAGGATAGCCCATAAGCTGCTGTTGGGAAGCCACATTCAATTCTTCAAATGATGGAATTGGTTCAGTTCATGGTTCATCAAAGTTACATTACACAGAATGGCCTATGGATGGCAATGTCAGGATATTTCAGTCAGTCCAGTTCGGTCCAGACTGAAATATCTCAACACATATTGGATAGATTATCATGAAATTTTGTGCTGAGGTTCATGGATCACAGAGGATAAAGCCTAATGATATTGGTGGTCTCCTGATGTTTCATCTTAGTCCAACTATTCAATGAATTGCCATTAAAGTTGGTACAGACATTTGTGCCGTCATTTTTAGCATGCTAAACTACGATGGTGAACATTATACCTGCTAAACATGTTACTGCAAGCATGTTAGCATGCTAATGTTACAGCCACTGCAACTCAACAGACTTTTAAATTCAGCCCACAAGTGTATTGAGAGGAGAGAGCGAGAGCTCTAACTTGCACCCTCATACACTTTCCTGATAAGCCGCTCTGTCACGTCAGCAAGGTCGCTGGTGTTGGTTATAGGGAGGAATCACCAGTCCTCTGAGTCTATTGCTCTCTGAATGTGATCTGTTAGAGGGAAGTCAAGGACAATACAGCGCCCTCAAATGGGTCTGTAGGCTAATGCCGTTATCTCTTTAGTCTGTATTACACATAATTACCACATGCAGTTAATTAGGCTTCAGTACACATCTACCGTCCTAATAAGGTGCAGTTATGATAATTAGCTAGTGGCAAAGTGTTTCTGTGAGTGTTTATGGGTGTCTAAGAGCAGGAGGCCTGGCTTGTCTTATTGCTCAGTGTTATTAGCAGACTTTATTATCTGCCAACTTGCAGTATAATGGATTCATAACTCTTCTTCGTCTGAAGATATTATCAGCACCTTCTTATTGAAATCATTTTCATTTAGCTGTCACCTAAACATTTAGCCTCAAAATCCAAAGAAGACTTGACACTTAAAATTTCCTGTGACAGAGAGAGAGAGGAGAAAGATAGAGGATTGTGCTGTCTCTGTGATTTATGGATTTCATAAACCTAACCCCCTCTGCTGCCATCTGACACGCCATTCTTCTCTGAACACACTGAGCTTTCACAACAATAGCACAGCTTTAGCCCTTGTCAGTGTTGCAAGCGTGTACGCACACATTCACACATTCACACACACGCACACACACACCACTAACAGCAGGGTCAGAGCTTTGGTTCTGTCAGCACAGCCTCCCACAGCGCTCAGAGCAATACCTTAACCATCATGCTGTAAAGTAAAACTTAATGGAGCTTCCACAGGCGTGTGTGCACACACCCTCTCACAAACATACACACTTTTGAGCCCAACAGCTTATTCACAAACTGTGTTTTGATTCATTCCACTGATCACAAGCTGTACGTTTGGAGAAAGAATTTGGCCCGGGATTTCTGCAGTTACCCAATGACACCGAGATATGAAGAAGGCTGCACAGTATCATTAATGCTGCGATGAACTCAGGACAGAGAGCCTTGTTATATGTTGAAAAGTTATGATTTATAAACCCAGTGTACGCTATACTATCCCTAGCCACATCATCATTTGACAGAGGAGGCTGCATCGCATAACACTCAGCCCTGTACAGTGTCAGCAGCACAAAGTTGATTGCTCTGCTGTAAGGACAGAAGTGGCACTGTAGGAGTGACATACACTTTGTCTGTGTCAAAACGACCAAGTGTCAGCAATGTCAGGTCCAACACTGCCTGCAAGAAGTTACTTTTTATCCAGTCCATAGCCGCTTTTCTCCTTGGGTTGTTTTTAATGCTTTCAGCATCCTGCCAATTTTACAATGTCTTCTGTTCCCACATCCTCAGGGTAGATGGTAATCCTTTCATAACAACTTGTATACAAACCAATTTGGCAGTTTCAGCAGTGTACCTCCCTCACATGAGAGACCCAGAGGCAAATTCCATCAATGTGTGGGTAGCTATAGCACTGCCCAGGGATTCGGTCCTCTGCCTTCATGCCTATATGACTTTATGGGCTGTATGTTAATGAAGCATTTGGTAATAATCTTTGTCAGATCGGAAATTTAGAGCAGTGTTTTTGTCCCTATGTGACCTTAGGGAAGGATGGGAGGCCATTGATACACACCGACATCACCAAGCGTACCAGCCATTTATAGCCTCTTAGCAAATACTTTTGTAACTGGCTGGTCTTAAATAATGAAAACACTATTGTAATGCCCTTCACTGTCTGCTCTGGACTCCCATGGCTTAACTGACCATGGCTTATTGTCTCTGTCCTCGCTGCTGCTTTTAAGAGGCATCAATGAGACATCAATGGGATGATTGTTTGTGATTGTTTAGCTCTAATCTCCTTTTTCCACTCGTCTTATCACTTTCTTTTCCACTTTGTGTCTCCTCTCACCCCCGCCAGCCCCTTTTGCTCCTCCAGGCAGTGAGACAGTAGTGAAGTTTGATTCCCAGGGGGACGGCATGGGCCGATACAACATCTTCAGCTACCAGCGCTTCGCCGATCGTTACGGTTACGTGCCAGTAGGTGAATGGGCAGAGAGCCTGAGTCTGAGCAGTGATCTGATTCACTGGCCCAGAGAAGTGGTGCCCACCTCGCAGTGCAGCGACCCCTGTGAACGCAATGAGATGAAGAAAATGCAGGCAGGTAGGAGACAATGTTCTTTTTTGTCATAGCAACATGCCATACCAAGCAGCAATGCCTTTTGAAAAATCTCAGAGTGTCACACCTTTCATATTCCTGTCTCCCAGGTGAGTACTGCTGCTGGATCTGCACAGCCTGCGAGCCTCATGAATACCTGGCTGATGAGTTCACCTGCTCTCCCTGTGCTCCTGGCCAGTGGCCCACTGATGACCTGACATCCTGTTACGACCTTCCTGAGGACTACATTATGTGGGAAGATGCTTGGGCCATTGGACCAATTACCATCGCCTGTGTAGGGTGAGTGATAAAGGGCTGTCAACATGATGTCAGTTTCTGACAGGTCCTGAGAGGTGTAAGTGTATGTGTTTGTGTTCGTATGGATGTTTGGATGGGGGAAAGGAATTGACACAGTCCAGTGTGTAACATTTATGAGGATCTATTGGTAGAAATGGAATATAGAACATTAACTTTATATAATATTCGTAGGTATGTTTTCATAGTGTTTTTGTTATCTTAGATTGAGCCGTATTATCTTCTACAGAGTCCGCCATGTTTAACAAACAAACCAAACACAAGATAGGGTTTTTGCTTTTTCGGAGAGTTTCGCAGCCACTGTAATTTCTCCTACACGCTTTGAAGGCTGAGCTGTATTCAAATGGTTGCAATCTGCAACCTTACTGCTAGAATTTAATTGAATCCTACTGGTCCTTTAAATGTATTCTATGTGGTTTATTAACTGGTGAGGATTCTGACAGTTTGCCAAGGAAATGCAGTTTTAGTCTTTCTTAAAGCTTTTTTAAACATTAGCTTAATTAATTGGCTCACCACAGCTGATAATATCTCCCAATGACAGTTGTTATTCCAGCAACAGCAACCAAGAAGGTCCACTACATGACACACAACAGTTGTTGTTTGCTTAGTTTGAGGCACAAAAAATACCTGGTTAGATTTAGGAATACGTAATGTTTGGATTAAAATAGGCCTATTAACTCACAAAGTTATCGATAGAAGCTGCTTTTTCCTGCCTCTATTTGTTTAAAAAAATGTATTTAAAAAATGTAAGTGATAAATCTGCTACCATTAAACAGTATGTGTGCCACATGAGAAAGGAAAGTTTGACAGACGTAGCAACAGTGACAATCAATTGAGGCTCAATTTATACCATTTTACTTGTGTTTTTCCATACCTACAGTAAACATGTATTATGATATGGACCTATTCTGATATTAGAAGACTTTCGGATTTCTGATTATTGTGATATATTTTTTTCGTATTGCTCAGCCCTTGTGTAATAGCATATAAGCACCTACCAAAACTGTGACCACATTAAACTACTACCTCCTCCCCCATCAGGTTCATGTGCACTGGTCTGGTGTTTTGGGTGTTTATCAGACACAACCACACACCACTGGTGAAAGCTTCAGGAAGAGAGCTATGTTACATTCTCCTCTCGGGAGTCTTCATGTCCTACGCCATGACTTTCCTCTTCTTGGCCAAACCCTCTCCTGCCATCTGTGCCCTGCGGCGCCTCGGCCTAGGCACGTCATTCGCTGTCTGCTACTCCGCCCTCCTTACCAAAACCAACAGAATCGCCAGGATTTTCAGTGGCGTGAAAGACGGAGCGGGTGTAGCAAGGCCACGCTTCATTAGCCCATCTTCTCAGGTGAGTGATTGCAGCATCATGCCCATCCATCTACATTAGTGAGATAGATGGACAGACAGCGACTCTTTATAACCTTACCTACCTTTCCTCCCTTCTTTTTCAGGTGTTCATCTGTCTGAGTTTAATTTCTGTCCAGTTAGTGATGGTGTCAGTGTGGCTGCTGCTGGAAGTTCCTGGGACACGGCGCTTCACGTTGCCAGAGCGACGACAGACTGTCATCCTCAAGTGTAACGTACGCGACTCCAGCATGCTGCTCTCACTGGGATATGACGTGCTCCTGGTCATCCTGTGTACTGTGTAAGTGCGAAACTACAAACTCCTATGTGCAACATTTGTGCTGGACTTAAAAATCAATTTCTGTCTTTCAGTTTCAGAAGTTTAGTTTTCATACATATCAACAAACATTTTAATAGGGTAGGTATCAGTTTTTCTTCTCCAGATGGTGTCTGAAATATGATTCTCTCCCTCTAGGTATGCCTTCAAGACCAGGAAGTGCCCCGAGAACTTCAACGAGGCCAAGTTTATTGGATTCACCATGTACACCACCTGTATAATTTGGCTGGCATTTCTTCCAATTTTCTATGTTACATCCAGTGACTACAGGGTAATTTAAACACACCCACACACACATACACAAATACTTGTCTCCGTCTTTTATGAGGGCATTGCATTGACGTATATTAATTTCCTGTTAAGTAACCCTGATCCTAACCATAATTGCTACATGCCTACAAGTGTTATTAATCTTCTCGATTAACTCTCTGCATGATAGCGTGTTTCCCAAAATGTTGCACCATTCTTTTAACCCCAAAATGTTATGATTTAGCATCTGGGGACTAGTTTTATGTCCTCAAAGAATAAGGAGAGTCCCTATATTGTAAATGTATGAGCAAACAAAAAAACAAAGCAACTTAAACAATTTCCAATCCTGCTGCCAAATGTCCCAGCTCTGCAGGACTGGGATGACAAACATACAGACTCTGTCAAACTGCTGACACATGTCCAGATTTAACAGTAAAGGGGAGTGAGTGTTCACCTGATCCATACAAATCTTAAGCATACACACACACACACCTTAAGCACACACTTCCACAAACACACACACACACACACACACAACACACACAGCACACACACAGTGCACTGTATCAAAGGGCATAAGAGAGGAGTGCTGATGCCAGGGCTGTTCATTTGATCCCTGAAAAAAAGAACAGCTCACTTTCTCACCCCCCTACTCCCTTCTCTCTCTCTCTCTCTCTCTCTCTCTCTCTCATTCTTTCTTCCCTTGGAAATAAGCATTTATTTGGCCTTGTAATCTGACTTTAAGATTAGTCAGGTAGAGACATTACATCACCATCACCAACATGCACAACCACCCACTCACACACACATAAGTATATACATACACAGAGGAGATGTTGAAGCGTTGATTACTAATAGGCTACTTTGGTTTTACTGGGAGGTGCTATTATTCCACCCTGTAACTCTAATGCTTCCCAGCTACACACTGTTAAACACTGGAAAAGGACATTCAGCATACACCTCTGGAGACCTATACCTAAAATTGTATTTAGCATTGATTTCACACAATAAATCGTACAGAATGACATTAAAGCTGAGATACTGTTAAGTTTGGCCTCTGTGGTCTCTGTTGATTAAGTCTTTTATTGATCTATCCTGTAATTGTTATCCTCTGGACTGTTGCAAGGTAACAAAGTCTACCAATAAAGAGTTACACTCTCATTCTACAGGCCTCATTGGCTCTGTGTACATATAGTGATTGGTATTACTCAAGGCATTTTTATGTTCTTTATTTATCTACTGTTTATCGAATTGGTTTTAATATATTGTTTTATTTTATGTTAAGCACTTTGTAAAACTGAAAAAGTGCCTTTAAATAATTTTCATTATTACAGATTATTATCATCAAATTAGCTCTTAACAGCAATTACTTTATACTACATTAGCATAAGATTTATCCATCAAAGTCTGGCTACTAATTACTGTATCTTCCTCTTTTCTCTGCAGGTTCAGACCACTACCATGTGTATCTCAGTCAGCCTGAGTGGTTTTGTGGTCCTGGGCTGTATGTTTGCTCCCAAGGTCCATATTATCATGTTCCAGCCCCAAAAGAATGTGACCAGCCACAGGCTTAACCTCAATCGCTTTAGTGTCAGTGGGGCTGCCACCACATACGCATCTCACGGTAGGTTACATGCAGTTACCTCATTTTTAAAGAGACAGGGTTTAGAGCAGCACTCTCTTGGTCTTTTTTTTTATTATGCGTCTATCAAATGGGCATTTTCAGCATTCAGTATTCAGCACAACGTACAGCCCTGTGTTTCACTTTTGCTATAGGCGATACAAGATTCTTTTTTTAGTATCACAGTGTTTGTTTTCTGCATTTTTCTGTATTTTGTTCCTACAGAACAGACACAGAACAGTTTTGAAAAGTCTTCTAATGCTATGTCCTAAGCAAGGATGGTCTCCAACTATGCACCACTGTTATTCTAACTGTGTTACCTTCACAGTAATGCATGATTGACAGGTTTAATCATGAGCTAGTTAGACTGCAAAGAATGGCATCCTGCTGACAGAGCTGCAGTGTCGAGCGGTACAACAAGATGCCAGTAAAGAAGTATGCCCCTAAGAGTGACAGGAATTTGTGCCTGAAACATATTTCAAGTTTTTTGTGACAACAGAAAATATAACTGTATATGTTAACTGTATATGTAGCACACATTGTACCTTAGAATAAATACAAAGCCACAGTGCATAATTGTCTCATAAAAAAGATAATTAAAGGGTTGCAATTCCAGGCAAGTTTTTTAAGATATACTTTATAAATCCCCTAGGGGAAATTGTTCTTTTCACTTTTTTGTTTTATACATGTACACACTGAAATGCACAATTCATGCACTTGTGGACATGCAAACAGGGAGAGAGATGGTGGAGTGATGGGGCTGCAACGTTAACAGCGCCCCATGAGCAGGCTTGGGGTTAGATTGCCTTGCTCAAGGGCACCTCGGCAGTGCACAGGAGGTACCTCTCCAGCTACCAGTCCACACATATTTTGTGGTCTGTGGGAATTTCAAAATTACTTGTAGATTGGCAACACAAATTCACTGTGAAAGATGGTCTATATATTTTGAAACGTTTTTGCAACATGATATTGAATATGAATAAGATTTCTATACTGTAGCTTCAGATGTAGTCGCATAACTTGATAAAGATATTGTCTCAGAATTGAATGTCTCAGGATGCTTGATCTTTGTTTGTAAGTATGTCATGAAATTGTCCTTTCTCTCTTTTTCTAGCTTCTGTCAGTGCCCACCACGTCCCAACCGTGTGCAATGGGAGAGAAATTGTCGACTCCACTACTTCCTCTCTGTGACCACATCTAGTTCAGTCTCTAAATCTGCCCCTGCGACTGTTAGCCAATCCATGAACATTTATCACCCCTGAACCATCGTTCCCCACCTCATCCACACACTGTATACACTCACACACACACACATATACATGTGTACACATACATACAAATACACGCACAAACAAACAACTTTCCTTGTGGACTAGAACTATATTGTTTCACAAATGTAGAAAGTGTGTAACTATAATTAAATTATTTTCTAGGGATGTACATACATGGAATCGACATTGTTGTAAGTAGAGAAACAAAAGAACAAAAAAAGTTTTTAGGAGGAATTTTTGGAGCCTTTGTTTTTGATAGCTTTGTTATGATGCGGTGTAAATAGACATGCGCTTAATCATGGTAGGAGGGTGTGTGTCCCTCAGTCTGGATGCACATTTGTGGCTCTGCTTGCCTCACCTGCAATATCCCACAGACTTTTTATTCTCATGCTTTTTTGTAGGTCTCATTGTAATAACCAATTATGTATGCATTTCTATTGTGTATCTGTACATTTGTATATTATACTACTGATGGTTCAAACAGCACAATGTTGACAGTCTTGTAACCCTAAAATAAAGGGGGACAAAAGGATAAACTGGATAGTATAAGATGGCTGAAACAGACATGTACAAAAATCCATCAAACTCATCGAACTTACAGTTACACTGTGCCAGCACATAATTTTCAGTTTGAGAATTCATCTATTCACATCTTGATAGATTTTCTTTGCATCCTAGATCCATAGAAAGAACCCATTGTGGCTGTTTTTGCAGGAAAAATATGTTTTGTTTTTGATACAAATGTTCATTTTTCTATTTCTATTCATGGAATCCCTTTATCTTAATGGCCATAGTTCCAGCCATGTGTTCACCAAAGCAACAGTATGTTCACTCTTACTCTCGAAACTGCTGTTTCTTAGAAGACTGTTGTAATGGATTGCTAATAATAACTAATAGTGGGGCTCAAAATTGCCAATACAGACAGTGCTGCGATAGCTCTGTCAACAAAAACAAATTAGTGTCTTTCCCGGTTTTTATGACTTAGTACTCTAATGACTTAAACACTAATGGAGGAAAACTGTCTGCTTTGCTGAACACATGCTGAATTTTTCCAACTACAAGGGAGTGTTAGCTTATGTTTTTTGTGCCCCATAGATACAGTATGTGGTGATGTTTTGAATATGGCTATGTGCCTTAATGTATGTTTGATAGTGCTCCAGGTAGAGGTTGTAAGAGATCAGTTTTACATTACCAGCTGCAAATCCTTGTTTGGTAAATGTAAAAGTGACCATAGTATTAGAGTTCATGTTTCAGGGCAACATTATGCTAGTTGGTTTTATTCCCTTCCAAGCCTTGTGCCATTGATTGTTTACCTGAAGTGTTGGAACAGTGAATCTGAGGAATCCTTAGGTTAAAATGACTTTCTCTACCCCCCTTCTTTCTCCAGCCTGTGATTAAAAAAACATGAAATGGGCATTTCTGATAGACACCCATCACATTTTACTTTACAGTTTTTACAGCTTAGCGGCTCCAATCAAAGAAGGAAGGGGAAGAGAAGCTCTTATACTATTAGGATGAAGTCATTGACTCGTCGACTTATTGAAGTGTGCAGTTTACATGTCTGTGTTAAATGTGTTGACGTTGAGAGGGCACAGTGGAGCAGCTGGCTTCGGCAGTCCCAGAGAGGCTCACAAGAGGAAGCAGAGCACACAATGTCAGCTGCTGGCAGATCCCAAATAACAAAAGGATATTAACTCATATGCATAACATACATACCCATCAAACTCTCTTTGTGGTTGGAAATATGACAGACTCTCTGCTACAGTTATGAGGTGGGGGAATAAATGACAAAAAATATATGAATAAAGTTTTTATAAGAAATTCTAAATTAGCGGACTAATTTAGCATTACAGTGTATAACATTTTAAAGAGTGGCCTGTCATCCAAGAATTTATTGCATTTAGAGGGGTAGTAAATTATTAAACAAAACTGATCTTAAATGGTTAAAAACTCTAATATGCTTTCTAAAATAAAGTGTGACTGTTATGACTTTATATTTCTGACAAAATACGTGATCCGATTCATTTATTTGCATCCAAGCATGCAGTTTCTTCAGGTTAAAATTCACATAATAGGTGGAGGCAGAGCTGTTGAACGTTCATCTCTTGACCAGTCTACACCTTTGCACGGCCGATCTCCAACATCACCCTGTGATTATCAAACTGAATGATAGATTGAAAAAATTTTAGAGGATGCGCCAAGACAAGCCGACCTACATTGGGGTGTGTGTGTGTTAGGTGCAGAGAGCAGGAGGAAAGAGCAATGTGGCAGAGCAGAGGGGAGCTGCTGCTGGATTATGTAAAGCACTCCCACAGCCCAGAAGTCACAGCGCTTCTATGGAAGCTCAAAAGCATCTCAGAGATTCACAGTCTTTGTTAGCAGAAGGCTTAGCCATTCACTCAGTGGTCCTGCTCCCACAAGATACACCCCGCATGGCAGGTTGCTATGGACAACCACCACCACATCCGCTGCCGGAATGTCTTATTTGTCTGCATGGAGAGGAGGGTGGGAGGAGGGGTGAGGAGAGGGCAAAAGAAGAGGAATGGAAAGAGGAAAAACGGGGTGCTGGTTGTGATTCAAATTGGCAGTGACTGATGAGATTTGGCACAGCAAGGCCCAGTACTCTACTCCGAGCTTTTAATGGCCACACAAACAGAGCACTTAACCCTGATTCTCCTCTCATTTAGTCCGGGGACTAGTCTCTGACAACAGTCTCACACTCTTCCTCTGACCCTCTCTCTCTTAATCCACCTCACCCCTCAAACCTTTTCCCTGGCCACCAGTGTACGCCTCATCTCTGCTCTATGTGTGAAAGTTGCTGCTGAGTCGGTCTCAGCCAAGACCACCTAAGCCAGACCAACAGATTGGTAGCCCACACTTAAACTGAAGCACTCAGATCTGGGCGACCACCGCAGCAAATGCCAACGAGGCAGCCTTGAGGAGGCTGAAAAAGGGATAAGGGGAAGGCAGATAAAGGAGCTGGAGAGCTTATGGGAAAATGAAAATGGGACTCAGATGTAAAGAAAATGCATCACTTTGAAATACATCACCTTTATCACAACACTACACTCAGTTTATCATCTCATGTACCCACTAACTCTCTGTGGCTTCCTTAATTGGCTTTACTCGTGAATATCTCTTTCAAACAGCAAGCCATCCACTACGGATATTGTTCCTCTACTCGGCCTCTGCCAACTGCCATGTGCTCTACAAAGGTCTCTGTGCTGTAGTCCCTGCTATACAACAAAATGTGTCCTTGGCCTCCAGACTTTGAAACAAGACAGGATCTCTGCGGCGAAATGAAGCTGAGGTCATGCTGAACTTTGGAACTGGTCAATCGCAAAAAACCAATAGTTCCATGTTTATGATACGTGCAATAAAGAGGCTGTGATGACATCATAATAAATAACAACAAGCAAACAGCTGGTGTTGTCTGCTCATCCTTCTGTGTCTTGTCTGTTCTGCCCAGAAAGAGTAGTCCAGTGCGTCTGTGCGCAGACTCTATAAATCTCAGCTAAAATTTAAATGTTGAACGCAAGTGTGGATAGATTTGTCTCTTCAGCAACATTAACAGCCCCTCACCACCACTTTCACACAGACACACACGCACACACACACAGGCGCTATTCATAGTGTGTCCTGGCAAATGTTGAAAGATGCCTCTTACACTCCTTCCTAATCTGTTCACTAAGTGACGGCACTCCAATTAAACCATCCACTGGAGTGCTCCCTGCCTCCGGACAATGCACCCCAGTGTGTAGACTCATTCTCCCCAAAAAGCAAGAAAGAAAAATATCTGTAAAATATGCAAAGAAAGAGAAAGAAACAAACAAGGGAACAGTTAGGCAGTGTCTGTCGTAGTTGTCTGTTGTACACTGCCCTTAGAAACAGTCTGACACATGGTGTGTGGGTTTTTGTCGGGTTGTAGATTCAGTTCATGAAAATATTGCAGATACGCAGGTACTAAATGTCTGCTCCTGTCTCTTATTTCTAGCTACAAAATATATTGCCTACAGGTCCTACTTGTGCAGAACTAGATATTATAGCCAGGCAATGATTGCCCTCTGGTGGTAGGTTCAGGTCATTACACAAATAACCTTCATACATGTACTCTACAGCCAGGAATTTCCATCCCTATTAAAATGTTGAATTGTCTAGCAGTGGTGGAAGCAGATATCAGATCATTTACTGAAGTAAAAGTAACAATACAACAATGTAAAAATACCCAGTTATAAATAAAGTCATGCACTCAGAATATTAAGAAAAAATACAGAAGTATTGTTGGTAAAATATATCAACATAACAACATAAATGTGATCATTTTTATAAAATAATGAATACTTTTGCCTCTTTGGACCTCAAACAGTTAACAGATAAAATCACTTTTTTGTCTGCTAACACCTCATGAAACATGACAAGGAATCCCAACTATATATGACTTTTTTAGGTAAGAGAGCTCAAGCAAAAAAGGTTGTGAACCACTAGACTGGTGTAATCGTCAACAATGCATGTGCTTTATAAGATTATTGTATGTTTTACAAGTAAAATCTTAATCTTAAAAGTAACTAGTAACTATAGCTGTCAGATAAAAAAATAAAGTTGAGTAAAGTACCTCAACATTGAACTTGAATACAGAATCTGAGAAAATGTACTTACTTTCCACCACTGTTGGATAGTAGCAGTTTGTAATGGAGCAAGAAAACAGATACAAATCTAAGAAGACACTGAGATTAAAGAATGTAATATAATGTAATCCTCATCTCTCTGTTCTCCACTGCCCTCTACTGGAGACCTTACTGAAGGACAGTAAAGAGCTATATAGTAGTTGTAATATTAAAAAAATCCACCACAGCAAGACCTTTCAGGGCAGGTTTAACAAAGGTCAAAATAGCTAAATATTAGCAGGAAATGAATTAGATTGAGTTTTTCATACTGGTTCCTTATCTTCACAATATTCACAGTCAAACCTGAAATGTATTCAATCAGTGTTAATTGATATTATTAGTGTCTGAGAGGATGTTTTTCTCATTTCCCTGTTAAATGAAAGGGATCACATACTAATAACTAATACTATAAGCTACTTTTTCACTTAAGCTGTGTTAAGGGATATATCACGTGTTGTATATCAGTAACTTGTAAGTAATTCCATGTAACCATATCCATGTTTGCAGAACAAAAATCAGTTGGTTATCATGAACTAATTCATCATGAGGTCATATAGTTTCAAACAAGAAAACCGTGAAAAGGAAGCCAATTCTGACTCAGAACTGGAGGTATAACTCACGTTGGGATCATTTTGAAAGTAATACATCATGTTAAAATAATACTGAACTGCAGCGCCCTCAGCTTGTAGGATATCATATCAGGAGCTGGCTCATTTTAAGCCACTGACATATCACAGTTGTTATATAAAGGCAGGCCAAAGCACTATACTTTGATCAAATGGTGCTGTAAGCAAAGTGAGGCTTCTGGAGCATTGAATAATTTTGGGCCACACAAGAAACAAATCTTTGGATAGATGAATGTCTGCAGGGAAATAAGATTGACCCAGTGCATATAGTTCATTCTACCCTCACAACTAAAAGTGTCAAACATCAAACACACAGTTACTACCGCAGTTATATTAAATATGTAACATTGAATCCAAGTGTTAAATCATTTTGGATCAACAAAATGACAAATATGAGTCTAAAATTACATGATTAATTCAGACCTCAGGAAAGCTCAGATAAATTGAGCTCCCACTAAGTTAAACAGAGGCCTAGCCAGTAGTAGTAATAACAAAAATGTACTAAATGTCCTGTAACATAAAGCCCCTCGCAACCTGGGAGTTCAATCACCAATTTACACAATGTTAACTGGATGTGTCAAAATAAAGACATTTTATACTATATGTCTGACATGCAAGTATACAGCAATTTCTTATATGGATTTAATGTATTTTGGTGATTTGCGATTTGTAAGATGATCTTATGCTTGTCATTACAAGAAGAAATCTTTTTATCCTACTCAAGGAAAACCTGTCACTACAATGTTTCAACTTGGGTAATAATTTTACAGCTCAATCATTATCTTGAGCAAACATAAAAAAAAAAAAAAAAAAAAAAAAAAAAGTACACAAATATAATTAGTTGCCTGCATTTTCAGGACTGATTAGTGGACCTTTAGTTTCAAGCAAACCCCAATTTTTTAGTGATATCGGTTACATTCAAAATGATTCCACAATTAAATTTATTTAATTTATTGTCATTTATTTTTCACCCACAGTGCCAGTTAGACCCCTCTATCAAGCCCGTCTGGATTTCTTAAAAGAATCTGTAGACAAGGGAATCACACTGGGTCCACATATACATAAATACATAATTTATTTGACATTCATGGACAAATAAACACCACAACCTCACCTCATCTCACATGACATCTTCATTTTCAATTGGTTAGCAGAACACTTCCCCTCATTACAATAATTTCAACTAAGTAACAGAACAAACAGATGAGAAGATAGAGGCTTTATATGGCCAGAATATACCAGTCTGTGTAAATGTGTCACACACCATGGCTGTCTAAAGAAATATTAGACACTACAGACTGAAATTAATATATAACAAAACACCAATCAAATAGGTCCTTGTCTTACCCTGAGCACTTCTAACAGCCTTTCTGACATCAGAATCAGCATTTTAACAGGAAGTGTCACACACACCTGCTTCACAGCACTATGCTTCGAGTTGTACGGCTCTGACGTACCAAGCTTTAAGGCCACCGTGTTCGTGGGACTTCTGTGAACTTGGCCCTAGGTGCATGAGT